GAGAAAAGCGAGCGGTGGGGAACGGAGTGGGGCGAGTCCGGGTACTGCTTCTGCGAGAGGCCCGAGTGCGCCACCGGCTTCCCCAGGTTGTTGTGGTTGGAGTCCGGCGTGAAAAACACCTCGTTCTTGCTGGGCGAAGGGGAGCTGTCCGAGGCGGAGTCGTTTCCCCGGAGGCCGTAGCTCCCGTACATCCCCGGAGAGGACGCCAGCGGGTCGCAGCTCTCGCTCTGCTCAAGAATGGATCTCATGGATTGAGGGAAGGACGACTTCACGCCGAACTCCTGCGACCTCTGCCCGTAGCTGGACAGGACGGGCTGGTACTCGGTGGCTTCGGAGAGGTTACTCGACTTCAAGATGGACTTGGCGGGCTTCTTCTCCAGATTTAGCATGGCCGACGGCGGCGGGCCGGAGTAATCGAAGTCGCGGTAATCCTCGTCTTCTTGAAACGAGGTGTCCGGGTAAAACTTCTCCTGGGAGGAGTCCAGCAGGGAGGAGGGCATCTCCATGCTGTCTGCAGACTGCTTGTACAGGCCGGCCGGGGACTCTCTGCCGAGGCCGAAGGGCCGGTAGGCGTGCACGGAATTGGAAAGCTCCTGGGGATACGCATCGTCCCGGCTCTGAAGAGGTGACCTCGTGCTGCTGGGGGTAGAAGAGCCGGGGCTCATGATTTTCGACAGCAGGGAGATAGTGTCGACGTTGCTCGACGTCGGCTTATCCATCATCTCGTCCTGGGTGGGCGTCCCGCTTCGCTCGTCGCGCACCGGCGTTCCGTCCACGTTGTCCATGGAAGTGCTGGTAGGACCACGCTGGAAGTCAGAGGCGTGACTTTCCGTTGCAATGCTGGACCCTAGGCTGCTGAGAATCGGAATATTCAAGTTGAGGCCGCTGAAGCCGGGATTTCCCTTCAAGAAATTGTGTATCTTCATCTCCAGGCTCGGAGACGGAGGCTCCGACTCCAGCTTCGCTTTTGAAATTTCGGAGGATTGAGCCAGCGAGGTTTCTGCTGGCAAAAGGGACGAAGGGCTGGTAGGGTGGGAACTGGAAAATCCCAGGGAATTGGTTGGCGGCTTAAAGCTGGAGCTTGAGAGCCCCGGGGTATGTCCAACGGGCGCCTTACTGACTGACGTTGAGGAAACCTCAGCGGCAGAGGAGTTCGGAGAATAGCCAAAGCTTTTGGGTATAAAGGACTGCGTACTGGAAGGCATATTCCTCCCCTTCAAGCAAGGAACGGTGGCGTTGGCTGGCGACGCCGAAGTGCTCTGCGACGCAGCTTCGCTGGACGGGACAGTATTTCCAGCGACGCTCTGCAGCAGGGATGACAAACCTGGAAAAACAAGAACGTCGCGTTCAGACACTCGGCTTAAGAGGCAGAGCCACCCGAGCCGCTGGCACGGGAAGGGTTCCGGCTCTGCGCCGCGGACGGCGTTCCTTAACACGACGCCGTGACCGGATTTCGCCGCATCCTTGCTGACATTAGCAGCCACCGAGGCGCAGATTTTTGCCAGAGGCTCAGATCGGTCTAGAAATCAGTAGGCGAGTCGGCTAGTAACTCACCCCGGCCTTGTAGCCAGGGATAAACGCTGCCACGCTGCCGACCGGGCCTACACACGCGAGGCCGGGGAGCAGCACCTCTGGGAAGGTTTGCGCTCCCGACGGTTTAGCATCCTGAGTTTTTCACCCCTCGCATGGCCTTAGGAGAAGCGTGGCAGCACGGCCACGCCATCCAATCCACGCTCAGCCATCCCCTCAAGACCCGCTCTGGTACCTTGCAATGCTGGTGCAGTCTGAGTCTGGGTTTTGGAGAGAGCAGACAAAATACTTTCCGGAGTTATTTCAACTTTGGAGAGAATATTTGCTAACGGATTTGATGGAGCAGATGGAGTCCCTAGGACAGGAGTCTTCAGGCCACTCGTAAGAGCTGTTGGGCTCGTCGGCGTTCCCGGAGAAGGTCTCGAGGCGGGACTGACACCTAGGACGGAAGCACACACCACTCACGTACGTCGCTTCGTTACCGGAAAGCTTTTGGGTTCTGGCTCACGTTTTCCAGAGATACAACTGGAGGAGAGCTCAGAGCGTGAGCACGGAGCGGCTCACCCAGCCGACAGTCGTGTGTCAGAGAGACCGAGCCACATCTTTTGTAGTAATAACTCATTGCTGTTTATTTGCAGACAATTAAAGCTTCCAGAGGTTACACGCCAAACCCAAACGTGCTAATGTGGCTTCAGCACTCACCTGTATTTTTCATTACAGAAGTTAAACTGCTCAGGATGGAGCTGATCTTCGCCAGGTCCACGTTGGCCA